TATTTCTTTCATCAATGAACCTTATACAAGATTCCTTAGGCGAAAAGCCGGTCGCATGACTTTTCTACAATAAAGTGTCTTTACTCACATGTCTGAGGTTGAAAAACGATTAATTCTGCTTGATTTGTTCTGCATAGCTGACTTGTACATATTCATAATCATTATTTGCTTGTACAACAGAGTTCAAATATTCTTTGACTCATTATTTGTCACGGAGCATGTCACACATCCAAAACTGCTTACCTCAGGCTATCTGTGAAACAAGCAAGACAGAGAATGTGCTCGCTGTTTCCCATGTGATTTTCAATGTTTGAATATCTTGCATGGTCAAATATATCTTTTATATCAATCCACAGGTTTGGCCGTAAGCCGATGATTCAGGTTTCCTTTGTGGCCAGTTCTGTTTTTGGAATTGTTGAAGCTTTTTCTACATCTTACGTGATGTTCACCATAGCAAGAACCTTGTGTGGACTGGCCCTGACCGGGATGTCTATCACCACAGTGGCTCTGTGTATCTATCCGTTTCTCATTTCTTTTCAATCTCTCAAGTCAACATGAAAGCCAAGCTGATCCTGTTTATATTGTTGTGAAGGATTTGTCATGATTCATGAAGGAAGGAACAAAAAAAATCTAACCCCAAACGTTTTTACATCAAATTCCATAAGAAAAACAGGTTTAGAACCTATATCATGTTGATTTAGAATAAAAGACACAATCCCTCTTAAAGGGATAGTTCACCCAAAAATGAAAATTCTGTCATTAATTACTCACCCTCATGTCGTTCCAAACCCGTAAGACCTTTATTTTTTTCAACAATTCTTCTCTCCCGAGTTACGTCTTCTCCTATTTTAGAGAGTATCACAATGCATACGCACGCTTTCCCCTAAGCGTAAACAATGCAGCGCTTTCTTCCCCGAACGTAAACAAAACTGATTATGTCGATTACGTTCTTGGGTACTCTCCAAAATGGCGGAAGACGTAACTCGGGGGAGAAGAATTGTTAAATAAATTATGTTATTTTTGTTTTCTTTGCGCTCAAAAAGTATTCTCGTAGCTTCGCAAAACTGAAGTTGAGCCACTGATGTCACATGGGCTGTTTTACTGATATCCTTACTACGTTTCTGGACCTGGGAACATTACAGTTGCGTTGCTGTCTATGCAGGGTCTGAAAGCTCTCACATTTCATCAAAAATATCTTAATTTGTGTTCCGAAGATGAACGAAGGCCTTACGGGTTTGGAACGACATGAGGGTGAGTAATTAATGACAGAATTTTCATTGTGGGGTGAACTAACCCTTTAAAACTTTACCAGACACACTTATTTTTCACAGACTTGGTTATGTTATTTTGCTGTTTATTTGCATGGCTGTTAATACCCTTATAAATTTGCTCAATCTTCAGGTGTTGAGTGGACAGACGTTAAACATCGCACATTTACGGGAACCATCATCAGTCTCGGGTGGAGTGTAGGGAACATGCTTTTGGCTCTTCTGGCATATCTCATCAGGGACTGGAGGCACCTCATCCTGGTAGTGACTTCACCCTGCCTCGTTGGCATAATTGCCTGGTGGTGAGTGGTGGAACTGCAAGTGAAAGAATAACTGGTTATTGGACATGAAAAATGTATTTCAAATATGAATTATTCAAGATAATGTGGAAGAAGAAAAGATTATCAGATTTCTATTTATTAATTAATAAATATAAAAAAATATAAAAAGTATTATTTTTAAACTAACAATGTATGTATTTATTAATATTATAATACTTTTTAGGTCTCTAAATGTGCTTTAAGTTAAAAGAATATTTTTCTCGTGTGCATTTTATCTGAAAAGGTGGATTCCTGAGTCAGCAAGATGGCTGCTGGCCAATGGCAGGGTGGAAGAGGCACAGAAGTATCTCATTCAGTGTGCTAAGATGAATGGAAAGTACAGTTACACTCATAAACTAGACACTGAGGTAAACATATCTAGCTATACTCTTATTTATTATTATGATAATCAGATTTGATCTCATCCTTTACCTCTTCATTAAAAACGAAATAAATCATTTTGACTGTCACCTGTTTAGACCTTAAAGAAAATCACCGTTAGTGAGGTCTCCAACAAGAATCATTCCTACCTTGATCTAGTGAGGACAGCGAAACTGAGGAAGATTGTGTTTTTCTCAGGGATTTTCTGGTATGTGAGGAGCTTTTCTGTTGTCCATTGTGATATAACAGTCAAATCAACAGTGTTTATTTAAATCTACAGGTTTGCAGTTGCTTTTACCTACTATGGCATCAGCTTCAACATCACTGGGTTTGGCCTGAACATCTATCTCACGCAATTTGTCTATGGAGTTATTGAAGTCCCAGCTAAGGTCGGGACCTACTTCACTCTGGATCGGATTGGTCGCAGAAATGGCCAGGCGTGGTCTCTCATTATAGCAGGAGCTCTGATTGGACTAAACAGTATAATCCCAACAGGTATTCATTCATTCTTTATCATGCTGCCTCTCCAAATTTTATGGTGGATATTAATTATTTAAGAAATAATGTGTTGGTTTTGTTGTGCTGTTTCATCCACAGACTTTGCTGGTGTGCGTACAGGGATTGCAGTTATTGGGAAGGGATTCTCTGAGGCAGCGTTTACCATTGCCTTCTTGTACACATCTGAGCTGTACCCTACTGTGCTCCGGTAATTTAACATTTTTAATTGATTGATTGATTGATTGATTGATTGATTGAATGAATGAAAAGGGCCGAACAACACTTTAAAATTTTTCACATTTACAGTTTATCCATAACTATGGCCCTTGTTTTTGGAATGAATGAACTCTCTGCTTCTCTGTATCTATCATAGGCAGTGCGGCTTGGGCTACACCTCTTTTATAGCCCGTATTGGAGGTTCGCTGGCTCCCATGGTCATTTTATTCGAGGACATGTGGCGCTTTGCACCCTCTCTAGTGTTTGCTGTCACTGCAGTTCTCAGTGGATGTGTGGTCTTCCTTCTACCTGAGACCACGAATGTTCAGCTTCCAGAGAGTGTTCTGGATATAGAGGAGGGGAGGTATAGTATCATTCAACCAGTACATAAGCATACCAAAATAGCTTTCTGCTGAATCACACAAATTGTGAAGTATTGTTCCTCCTACAAGACTTTAAACAACCATTTCACAAAACGTTTTTAAGTGACTTACACTAAATTCAAGCTATACATTTTATTAGTTCACCATAATACTGGATCTAATTGTGACATGCTGTGAAATATTGTTCTCTTATTTATTTATTTAAGGCACACAATGTCCACAGAATCTGAGAGGGATGTTGAACTCACTGTGATGAATTCATTGCCTGCGGCTTTACAAGAGAAGGATTCATGAAGGCAAAAACTGTCAGAAAAACAATGATTCCTTACAGTTCAACATCCTAATGGATAGATGTGAATAAACAACATTAATTGCAAGACATTTATGGTGCACAAGGGATAAACAACATATTTGATGTTCTTGAGAGTAAGATTGCACAATCCTAAAAACACCAGTGTAGTAGCTTATAATGTCATTGAATTTAAAAGTCAACAAAGAGCTGTTTATTAAGGTTATTAAGGTCATAAGGTGTTGTTTTTGTATTTTCTCTTCTGTAGCTTTAAAGAAATAAAATGTAATGGTGTATGAATGTTTGCATGATTCTTGTGTTCTTGTACATTATGCATTTACTCTTGCTATGAGAAGTAAAAACGGAATGAAATGTAATGCATACAGTATGTAATTTGCCCTTGTGTAGACTGAAATTTAGAATTTAGAATTTTGATTTCAGAGTTCAATATATCGTCTATGTGACTATAGTGATGTTTTAAAATATTATGTGGTTAGAATGATTTAATTGTAGCACTCAACACATTCTGATTAACAGTATTTGTATATATAATAATAACTTGCCTGTTCATTATTTTACTAGACTCTCAAATAAATATTTTACATTGTTACCACAATTATGCATTCAAGCTCTCTTGTCTGTCAGTCGTCTATCAATAACACTCCTTACCGGCAGGGAGTGCAAGTGTATCACATACAGCTTTAAATACAACAGAATGAGGCGTAGTTAGTGATGGGAAGTTCGGATCATTTTACCGACTCGGACCTTTGAGTCTCGTTCAGCAAAATGAACGAATCTTTTTTCGAGTCATTTCGTTCATTTCGTTCATTTTAGCAAAATACAATTAAAATGTTACGTGTTACTTCCCTAACACGTCTACTTACGCAAACGTTGATCACACTACAAACAATACAAAACTGCAATAAGAAACAGAAAAGATTAATTCATTGTTTACCTGGGTCTTCAGTCTATGATTTGCTCACCACCTCTTATCTGACAAGTCGAGTGGTTCGTTCATCACGTGACAGCCCCATAAACTTAACCAATGCAGTCTGAGCCAGAAAGAGAATCGATTAGTTCATCTCGAGTCTTCGGGTTTTTCGAGTCGATCGTTCATCACGTGACAGCCCCATAAGCTTACCCTATGCAGTCTGAGCCGGAAAGAGAATTGATTAGTTCATCTCGAGTCTTCGGGTTTTTCGAGTCGATCGTTCATCACGTGACAGCCCCATAAAATCGTTCAAGAACGACCCAACACTACTTTCTGCCTCTCTCTAATTCATTGTTCATGTGAACGTATAATTTTTTTTTATAACAACAACAATAATAATAATAATAAATAATTTAAACCTAGCTTCTGAAAATACTTATACATTTTTATACTATTCTTGTTTGTTGTGTGTGTATAAAGATAAGTGTGTTCAGTGGTATACAGCAAACACAGTATACGGTGACCGTGATTTCACCAAAGTACATGTTCCTGAATAACGTCCATCATTGTGACGTCGCATGGCACCGCCTTTACATGTTTCAACTCGGTCCTGTGAGCAACGGTAAAGCTGCGCTTCCAGCGGCTGAAGGGTCAGTTCCGGCTTTTTGTGAGACTAAGTTTAATCTACTGCTGCAAGCATGTCTGGAAGCGTAGTACAATTTCACAGGTCAGCTGTTCGCTGACGTGCTGCTCTTAAAGAAATTTAAATTTTATTAGAATTTTATTAAAATATGACCGTGAACAACATGGCAGATCCAAGACGACCGAATAAGATTTTTCGGTGAGTATTATGTCCGTATTTAAGACTCTTTAAATGATTGAGATGAGAGTTTTGATTGGCTCTCGTTAGCATCACTGTTAGCAGCAGTTCGGCTAATGATTAGATGAGAAGATTTACATCGCAGAGAGTTAAATAGATGCTAGTTTTTACCTAATAACATTTTTAAATAGTAACATCAATAAAATTAAAGCTCTATGTTACATTTTACAAATATTAATTACTATAGTCACTTATTACATGCGTTATAATACGCAGCAATCTGCATATGTATTGGATCATTATTGTTGCACATTTGTCATCTATTGTTCACCTAGTTGCATTTTTATGGCTTTCTCTGCCAAAATCATGTAATTTTTGTGTTCTGTGTATTTTATAGTATGAAGTAAAATGCCAGCATAAACTGACAGCATTAATAGTCAAGGCATATAACGTTTGCTTTACAGCTACAAGCCACCTAACACCGAAACCAACCCCACATTGGAAGATCCTACACCCGATTATATGAACCTGCTCGGCATGATCTTCAGTATGTGTGGCCTGATGCTCAAGGTGACCTGACTCTCATCTACATAAACACCTGTGTTTACAGTAAACCTTTTATGATTATCCTATTGTTTATGACTAAAACATGAGCAGACTGATGCACAGCTCTGATTTAATGCTCAAATTGTGGTGTATTTGTGTTTTTGGCAGCTTAAATGGTGTGCGTGGATTGCAGTGTATTGCTCGTTCATCAGTTTTGCCAATTCACGAAGCTCAGAGGACACCAAACAAATGATGAGCAGCTTCATGTGAGTTGCTTATGCTTGTTTGTTTTTCTTATAATTAATACAAGTGTTGGATAATTACTTTATTGTTCGGTCTTTTCATAGAATTTCAGACATTTCATCTACCCAAAGAAATCCTCAAATGTAATGCTTCTGGACTTGTTTGCCAAATTAAACATATATTCCTTAAACGTTCATTCCTTCAGGCTGTCCATATCGGCCGTCGTGATGTCGTATTTGCAGAACCCACAGCCCATGTCGCCACCATGGTGACAAATAATCCAAACCCAATAAGCCATCTCAGCAGGGACGGCATGAGAACCAGCTGATCCACCCACTGTCCTTCTGGAACGCAGGGACATACACTCATCAGCCCAGCTGGCCAATCAGAGGCTGACAAATTGACCGATGTAGTTCCTGTTCGACCGTTTCAAGTTTTCTCTGTGCTCACCATTTGTTTTTATGTATGTGACCACACTATGGTAAAATATTAATATACTGTGAATGATTTTGAGAAATAAATGAGCTATTTTGTGTGCTGCTTCAAACATTTTCATACTGTATATACACAAGTAATTATTGTTAATTAGGACACTTTGAAGTGCAAAACTAGAGTTTGATGTTAATGTATTCATCCTGCAGCTGCTGCTTCTAACTAAATGTGTCGACAGAAGTGTAAATAAGCCTTTTATTCTGAAAGATTTAGTTTTTCTGAGAAGAAACCGCTTCAAAAATGATATACAGCACTATATAAACATGCCAGATTTGTTCCTCTCAGTGGGTCCGAGACGGATTCTGCACAGGCCTGGAGGATTTAAGGAACAACTGGCAACTCATGAACTGGCGTTTTTGGAAGTGTATTCTTATTAGTAGGAGCAATGTGCATAATGTTTTTTGACAGTTGTCTTTGTAACACTAAGGTGGTTTCTTAAAAAAATCTGTTAACCATGTTTGATGGTCAAATAAAATTTGTGTTTGTACATAACCTATTACACCACTAGGTGGTCACAATTTATCTGATCACATTTCTTTCAATATCATAATTTAGGAATGTGTTTCTGCTCATCTAACCATATGTTTAATGATTGGCAAGTAGTTTGATGCTGTATCTTTATCCACAACAAATCTAATTCTCACGAATATGAGGAGTGAATCTGGCTCTTTAATTTGAAATAAAAGAAGAAAGTTTTATATATACATACACACACACAGTAATGATAATGTTTAGAAATTGCTGAATGCTATGTAATTGGCTTATTACATATTACATAAATTTTGCCTGTAACCTGTAAATTGCCATTCAAAGGTTTGGACAAAACAAAAAAAGAACACTAGAAATGTTAATCAAATCAAAACTGTCTTGTTGCCGAAATCCAGCTCGTCTCTGGGCTGATTTTATTTCATAATTTTATGTTATTTTTATTCTTTTGCCCCGTGCTCACCAATTTATACATTAAAACATAACATTAAGAATGAAACTTTACATAAAACAATTGTATAATCTAAAATAACAAGAAACAAAAATGTATTCAAACTTTTGTGAATCTAATTTAATTTATTAAGACGAATGTTTTATGTCATTGATGGTCAAAGCTGAGTCAGCGTTTTACCGTCATTTCACAATTCAGAGCCCCCCTTTCTTACGTCTGATCACGCTTATTGGCTAATTCCTTATCCATATGATGTTAAACCAATCCAATAATTATATTTTATTGTGAATTACTATAAGAAATATTATTGTTTGTTAATACATTTTCATTACGTAGCCCTCCAACTGATCAGTGAAATTTGCCTTTAAATTTCCCTCATGAATAATATTATGTACACTCTCACAATAAACCTGAGTAAGGAAGAGAAAAACACACATGACCATACTGTCTCTCACCCACCGCGCAGCAGCAGTCAAAACGCGTAGTTCTGATCCGCGCCTCTGCTCTCAGCACCAGGACAGTCACGTATCCGTTACGCGCACAGAGCGCGAGACTCCTCGTACAAGCGCATGCGGCTCGCGCCACGTAGACTCGTTTCTCGAGAGCCTTGGTTGAGCACATCTGACGAGAATCAAAAGATTACACTGAGAAAGAACACAAAATTGTCTGTTTTGCCCAACAAAAATACTTAAAGACAGAATGTTCCGAGCTTGAAGATGGATATGACCTCTTGCTCTGAGACAAAGGACCTCGGACCATTCAGTTTGTGGAGTTGTAGTGGTAGTTTTGTCAGTTATAAACTACAGGTGATCCGGACGAGTCCAGATTGCAGGATCATCTCTGAAAAAACACAAACCTCTGTGGTGAGTGTCTCTTTAATTTCTTTGTTCACAATCGCTTAATGTTTCATATATAAAGATATGTTTATGTAATATTTTGCTCTAGTCTATATACAAATAATTTAAATGTTTATATTATATAAAATGTGACATTAATGTATAACGTAAAATGTGAAATTACAACATTAACACTATAAACTAATTATGCATTATACTTGTATTATATAAAACTATTTTATCTGTAAATAGGCTATATTTATACATTTAATATTTGTTTTAGTATCTATCTATCTATCTATCATGTGTGGCATCAGAGAAGAATCTTTAATCTTTCTTTGGTTGAAAAGTACCATAAAATACCATGGTACAGTACCTTCAAGTACCTTGCAGTAAATACCATGGAAATACTATACAGTGTATCAAAATACTATGATTTTACTGCCTGTTATATTCACTGTGCCATAGTATCACCATAGTACTTTTTTGGTCATGTTTAACACATACTTTTGTTAGATGATCTTTTGCCAGTCTTTTGCTGTTCTCGGCGTGATGGCTTACAGCCAGAGCTATTTATCATGATGTGTTCATTCAGCAGATACCATATTATTTATGCTCTGAATGGTACTAAATGCAGCAAATAATTTTATTGTGATTAAACATTTATTCTGCCCTTCTATATAACAGTACATATGTCAGCATCCGAATCGGCTGAGACTTTGATTTTAGCCGTTTCTGATTACAGTTCACAATAAAAAAAAAAATTCCAGCCATGTAATATGCCTAATACACTGGAGAAAAGTCTAAAAATCGAGTTCAGTCCAGAAAAACCGATCTCAAGCTTGAAACATGACATCTTTGAATAGGGACTTGATGGCCATTATTTCTATCGGTAAGTTTTTGTGGTTTTGGAGAACTTTGTAAATGTCACCCTAATTGCATGCATTCATACACACCCACACAATGGTGAGGCTGTCTGTGGGCTGGTTCAATGGAGATCCAGCCCACACAAATGGCCACTTGCTGTAACACACAATGATGCAAATGAAATCATCCAAAATTGGGTCTTACTACCTTTTGTGGCTATGCCTATGCTTTACCTTGCCGTTACAGCGAGATTTATGATGTTGTCGCTTTAGCAAACAAAGAAAAGCGGGATTCTTTTGTCTAGTCCAGGAAGCAGCCAATGCATCAAACCCTTTAAACAAGGATGAGATGTGTTCCTGACTAAAAATACAAAAAACATGAATGTCATGATGCTGCCAGGCTCCAGGAAAGGACTTAAAAATGTGTGAAGGCCTTTCAAGATGTCTTCTGGTTCTCCTTCACCTCACTGAATATATTGCCTGTTGGAACTGGCATGCGTATTGTAATAGCTTTGCTCTCCATTGGCCAAAAATAAAAAGGCAGATTTAGTTAGTTCCATCTTTAGTGTCTGATCATTGATACAAGCTGTGACTCTCCTAATCACAGCCTGACAACAAAACCCGCCTGTCAACAAAGAGCACAGCCACAATAAGGACTGTGTGAATGCATTCCATTCACATTTTGGCTACTGTGCTTATCTTTTCCTGTGCTTTACTCCATCTGTGTCTTTCTTTTCATCTAATCTTTGTACTTTGGGGAAGATCACTATAGCATTTGCCACAACTTCAGTGCTTTGCTTTCAGAAACAGAACAGTAGAAGTGCTATCAGCCCTTCTGGCTCGTCTCAAAGAGCCTCAGTCAGAACCTCCAAAAGCATAAACTTCTGACTGTAGCACTGCATTGTTCCTGTGCATGTGTGAGTATGTATTTGAAATTGTTGAGTGTGTATGTGTCACTTTAAATTACTTTATTTCTCCACCCGTGTCACAGTGGACAAATTCTTCAAACACAGTCAGCACATATCGTAGTACCGGAGTGCATCATTTATTTTCACCTGACATTGGTCTATTGCAATTTTCTCTAAACAACTATGCAGCCTTTTTTAATTAAACCTCCCTAGGTGTTTTTTCTACCCTCTGCTTTCCTTTTCCACTTGATTACATGTCACATATTTTCCCCTTAATTTCCTTTTTTTGTTGTTTTTTTTGTTGTTTGTTGCTGTCAGTTTTTATTATTATGATGAAGATGATGATTTATAGTATTATGAACAACATCACAATATAAATATTTTCTAATAAAGACATTTTATTTAATAATAGCATTTTATTATTTCTTTATTAGAAAATGCTTTTCTGATGGTTTATAATGTTTATAATGCTGTGGATAAATAAATAAATATTATTTATTATTTATATATTTGCAGCATTACCATCTCAATGTAAGTGTTCCAATAAAAAAAATAATAAAATGTTATTATAAAATAAAATATAAATAATAGCAATACCATTACTACATCAAAAACAAGAACATAATAATAATAATAATTATTATTATTTATTATTATTATTTACAGCATTATGAACACTATCACAATATAAATTATTAAATTTTCCACTAAAGACATTATGTTGTGAAGGTGTTCATAATGCCACAAATAAATATATTTATTTAAGTAATTAATTTATTTATTTTCAGCATTGCCATCACAATACAAGTCTTCCAATAAAGAAATAAAACGTTACTGTCAAAAAATATAAATAATAGCAATACCAATACTAAAACAACAACAACAACTTAATAAAATAATAATAATTATTGCTTTTGTTGTTGTTGTTGTAGTTCTACAAACAGGGTATATTAACAGGTTCATAATGTATTGTATTATACATTAAAAATGAATCAAAGGATAGATTTTATGCTCATTTACACTTATAAATCAATGTCTTGATACAAGTACATTTAATTTTAATATTATATTTTAAATATTAATTATATATTTTTTATATTATATTTTAAATTCACATTACTCATAAATATAAAAGCTCTTTTTTTAAATTTCACTTAAGTAACTATATTCTTTAAAACAATGACAACAACAACAAAAACAACAACAAAAAAGATTACACCAAAAACGTTTTTGTAAAAATACATTAATTTCTCTACTTTCTGCCCCCATAGAGCCATGCTGTCTCCCATGTATGCAGACAGCTCAGTCATCATGGAGAGAGCGCCGCCCTTGCGGAAGGGAGGGAGAGTGCAACCTCAGGGCCACAAACTGCGCTCTCATCCTCCCACCAGCGGGAGCAGTGTTTGTGCCAACCCGACCTACTATCATACTGTGTATGACATGAGTGATGCAGCATGCCATGACTACAGCAAAGCCAATGGAGGGGAAACGGTAATGATAGATGGAACACTTTACTCTTTGATGCCCAGTGACTCTCTGGTTCCTCCTATCAGAAGGAGAGGAGGCCTAGTTGACCACCGTGATGTCATCAAAGCACACCAATCCCATAAATTGCAGAGCACTCCACAGGCCCGACGAAAACAATGGGAGTGAGTATTAAATAATCTGTTACTTTTTTAAATGTCTTGGGTTTGATGACTTTGTTATTTTGAAATGTACTAGAAAAAAGTCCATCATAAAGCACCAATCACGTGTTTTGGCATGTTTAGTCATTTGATGACATTTAAGTTTAATGTACTTTTGTGTAAGTGGTTTAATGTCAATGCTAGTCCTATGAATTTAATTATCAACAGCATAATCTTGTTTCATACTGAAATGTCAACTGATGGAAGTGATTGTGAAATACACCCACCTCATTTCATCTTATTTTTTATCTACCATAAGTTTTTTTTTTTTTTTGTGCAAGATTGTACAAAATCTGGATTCTAAATCTATCCCTCTGAGACCTAGATTGTTGCCATGCCTTCTCTACAGCCTTCAGGGAGCAGACTGTCACTTAAAATATTCATCTCCCATCATATCTCTGAGAATAAAGTGTAGGTCATGTAGGTGTGTGTGTGGAGAGGATGTGTTTGGACACATTGATGGACACATTGATGACCACTGTTTCATTTGGACCCTGTGTGTGTGGTTTTGCCTGACAGCAGTTAGTGAATGTGAAAACCTTGAGCTCTGGTGAAACAGATATTGTTCGAAATCTGGAATGGATAGGGAGCAAATTCAGACCAAGATGGAAACATATTAAGGCAAAAAGGACAGTTGTGGTGATGTTTTTTTTTGGCAAAGTTGTTTTTGTGTTAGTGGCGTAGAAAGTCTGTTTATATTCTTGTGTTGTGATTAGTGGGTACACGCTCCTCACGAACTTGTCAGTCAAATCCTCTGCTGACTTTAGCTTATAATTGGAGACCGTCAAGTTGATGTGTGTATTTCTGTGCAGCTAGCAGCACCAAATAGAATAGCAAAAATCATGCATTCCAACCTTCCATAGTTTGGACAAACAGGTACATGATATATATATATATATATATTTTTATGCATTATATATTATATATATTTATTCTATATAATATATTATATGCATAATGATTTATATATTTATACATTTATATTTTTTTACGTTTATATATTTATATTATGCCAAGATATAAACATAATTTCATATTTTTATGTAATTTATATGTTATGTAAAACTTATAAAAATTATATCTGTATTTATCACTTTATAATTTCTTGTACTTTGTATCATACTTTATATTATTTTATAGTTTTAGATAACATGTAAATTACATGAAATAAACAAAAAAAATAAACAATTTATATATGATTTACACATTGTCAAAATATAAACATAATTTTATATTAAAAAAATATAAAAACTGACTTTATGGCTTATTTGTAGTTGTTTTTGGGACAGAAGGAAACTATTTTACCTAAATATAGTTCACCATAGAGAGAGCATGTTCTTTTTCACCTTGACGTATCCTCGGCCTCAGGTCTCTGGTGTTTAGAAGAATAAGCCTGGGTTTTGGTGTGTTTGCGTCACGGTGGGACCAAGTTACAGTGAACGTAGAGTGACAGTGGAATCCAGTCACGATTTTTGTTGCGCTTTAGGGGTGTGGAGGCTTCCACTCTCATCGCTCACCCACTCAATCTGGCAGCCGTAGCAGCGGGGAGACGTGAGATAACAGGTTACTGAGAGAAAATGCACTCTCACTTTCTTTCACTGACTCATTTCCCCTTGCTCTCTTCTCTCTTTCATTTTCCCTTTCTTGTCTCTGGTCTGGGAGTGATCAGCTGTAACTAAATATGAGCCCAGGGAGTCTGTCACACAGCAGAAATGCAGATAAATGCACAAACAAATACACAAACAAGTATAAGATGCACAAGATGTTGCAGTTCATACATACAATGGGGTCCAGAAGTCTGAGACTACATTGAAACTTTTCATGTAATCTTTAATGTAAGTCTATGTGTGATATTGACCATGCAAACTGCGTTGTGGAGATGGTCAGATGTTCTTGCACCCATTGAAGCACAAGATGCTCTCTGCATTTTCCTAGAATCATGCTGTTAGCTTGGAAACCATTTTTGAAATTTTATGAATTTAAATTCATGTACTTTAATTTAAATTAATTATTTCAAATGTATATAAATAAATATTTAATTTTTATTGTACTTTATTATATATATGTATATACAGGTGCATCTCAATAGATTAGAATGTCGTGGAAAAGTTCATTTATTTCAGTAATTCAACTCAAATTGTGAAACTCGTGTATTAAATAAATTCAGTGCACACAGACTGAAGTAGTTTAAGTCTTTGGTGCTTTTAATATTCCCAAAAAATATAAGAAACAGCACAAGCCCAAGAGGACAAGTGATAGTTTCATACATTGGCCTGAAACTGTAATACTGGCCCCAACTTTGTTGAGTCCTAAAATTAGAAGCAATTTCATTAGTGGTCTCAGATTCTCCCAATACCTATATTAAAGCATACATTGGAGAGTAGACTCTCTTTTTCCTCTTTCACACGTTCTCCTGCCACTGCCTTATGTTCGGTGTTTTCCATAAACACGGGGTACGTCTCTCACACACTCTCAATTAGAGCAGTGCTATATTAAAACAGCCTCTTAAATAGACAAAAAAAATAAGTTTGTGTCTCTCAGCTGTGTATTGCTTCTATTTTTCATCCCTTCATCTGTGTCCCTCATCCCTCCCCCTTATCTGTGCTGTAGATTACTTCAAATCTTATTTCACTGTACCTCCTATTTAGGTTTAGAATGAAAAGCTGTAAAATTATACATGCGATGGTGCCGCAGACGGCAGCCTCAGTGTTTGGCTCTCCAGTGTTTGTACTGTTTTTGTTAGTTTTTCCTGTTTTTGTTTCTCAAACACGATCAGTTTTACCAGGGATGAGCTGCTGAACATTCGGCAGAACACACCACACAATCTTCTACCGGATTTCGTTTATTCGGACGTTTTGCTGAACGTTGTAGTCGGCGGAGCTCCTGCGCTGATCAAGCGCTTCAGGACGCGCAGACGGGGGAAGCGAGCCGGCGTGCTCGTGAAGCTCAAACATACTTGGCAATAAAGCTCTTTCTGATTCTGATTCTGAAAATCAAAATATATGCTGTGAAGTAGTTTACATTTAGACTGTACAGACACACACAAACACACATAATCACACACAGTCTTATACAGCGACACTTGGCAGCAAGTGCGGACAGATCAGCGGGCAGTGTGACAAGGGGGCAGTTTTTGAGCGGAAGCTTCCACAGTTTCCGCTGGCAGGAGAGATCTAAGCTGCATAAATAGGGTAACCATGCTATTTTTAGCACCCATAAAAATGGGCTTTTTAGTATTACCAAGGCCGCAATGAACGAAAGCATTGATTTAAGGCTGAGAGATGATTTGTGGAATGTGACGTTACAGGTGTGAGGGTGCATGATGGGTCAATGTCATCCTGACAGCTGGCAGCTGCAGTCCTTTTTCCAACGAATGAGAGAGTGCCAACAGACGCAAATGTACAGACTTCCTGATTAGATTCTGCAAATAGTTCCATGTTGATTTATACCAGTTGCAAGGGTAGAAATTATCAAGTGATTGGACCTTGGTGAAATGTTATGAATTTTATGAAGCATAATTCTTTTCCTTAGACTATATGAGATAATTTTTGTTATTTTTGTGATGTTGATTTTAAAGCTGCACAATTTTTACCTGTACAATAACTAACTTAATGAAACTCTGAAGATGCAAATGGTATCTGGAAGAGTTAGGTAAAGAGTTAGGAATATATATAAATATATAAATATAATTCCCTTCGTATAAAAACAATAGAATTCAAAGAAACCATGATAGAAAACTAGTGTGAGAAAGGAGACATTATATATTTAGTTGATGTGAGAGAATGGATGGATCAGTAGATGAAAATCATCTAAGGAAATTGTGAAATGGAAAGTAAAGAAATGAAATATTCGGCAATCAAGATGAGGAGTGAAACAGGTGACAGGTTGAGCATTAAGACCAATGAGAACAGACGGCAAGACATCTGAGTGTCCTCTTAAACACTGAGCCATTGTTTGTTTTTCTTTGGTCCCCCTTTCCAACTCTCTTCTCTTATCTTCTTTTTATCTTGAATCAATCTGGCTTATTGCCATGCATTGGAGACCTGTTCCAGACAGAGGTGTCCCTTAGGACCTAGTTTCTCCAATGATGTGTGCGTGTGTATATTGATTGCTTTCTGGTGTGGTTGGGAAATCGTAATTCCTGACGTGTTTTAAACCCTGTTTTTATTGAACTTTCGAATACACCTCAGCAGTTTCCATGCAACTATGTCTCTGCATTAGATTCATTACTCTACATAATTACTTGGCTGGAACCCGAATAGCTTGCAAATGCATTACGTCAATCTGTGTCGTAAACCAGCACACTGTCTGGTTTTTGAGCATAGTTTATTATACCTGGGATTCCTGTCAAACCACAGTGTTCTCAGAGCCTGAGACCGTACCTCCTGCATCTCAATTATGCATTTGTGCCATACTGTCTTCCTCTAAGAGATCTCAGAGGTTTGTGATGTGTGTGTCTGTGCGACAGAAAGCTGAACTGGTTTGATAGTCTGATCCTAAGGCTGGAATGAATGTTCATTCTGTTTGTTTCAAGAGTTTGTGTCTACTTAAAGAAATAGTTAATGAAATTAAAATTTGCTGAAAATGTACTCACCTTTAGCTTCAGGCCATCCATGATGTAGATGAGTTTGTTTCTTCATCGGAAGTGATTTGGAAAGATTTTGCATTACATCACTTGCACACCAATTGATCCACTGCAGTGAATGGGTGCCGTCAGAATGAAAGTCCAAACAGCTCATAAAAACTTAACAATAATCCACAAGACTCCAGTCCATCAATTAATGGCTTGTGGAGCGAAAAGCTACATGTTTGTCAGAAACAAATCAATCATTAAGATGTTTTTAACTTCAAACAAGTCCTTTATCCATATGTTGCTTTCTCCAGCAAAAGTCATCTCATCTGAATCAGGAGAGAAATACAGATCAGGCACCGTTTACAAGCTAAATGTTGGTGGATTTTGATAT